CTATACGCACTATACGTAAAGTATCGTATAGTGTCGTATAGTGTTCAACTATACGCTATTTGCCCATCTCTAACCTTACCACAAATAATGTTAAATGATTATGAAACATGTTCGCAAAAGGTCAAGTGTACGTTGTAATGAGCTGAACCACTTTGCTGGATAAGTTGCAAATCCTGGGCTTTGACTATCCCAACTAAAAGCTTCTAAAGCAGCCTTAGAAGATTATGAAGTTGTTAACAGCAGCAATGAATTGCAATTGTTGCAATTGTTATAAGTAATAATAGTCGCTTGTTCCCTTTCCTCCTTTGATGATCGTTTAAAAAAAAGAACATGTATTTCTTTAACATTAAACAATAAATAATCCTAATAATTGATAAATACAATTTAATCCACTCATTTTATATCATCACAAATACAATAATATTAGATTGCTCTTTAGGTCTAACAACCTTATTTAATATTAAATCACTCATTTTAACAAGTTGGGTTATAGCCACCAACAACTTCGTCTGCTTCTTTAAGTTCTACAACAGCTATAGTTTGTTGAATATTATAGTAAATACTACCCTGGAAAATCTATATTGAGTCACTCGAAGTATTTTTTTTTCCTTAAATATTACTGCCCTAGAAAGTTTATCTTGAGTCTCTTGAAAAATTTATTTAAAATTAAATATTTCATTTTAAATTTAATAATTTTCCTTTTCTCACTCTTAGTCACTTTTGAAGTAGTAGCCTTGGTTGCCAATGTATCCTAACCAAGATAACATTGAAAAAGTTCTTCTTTACAATAATAAGGCTTAATTGTATATCCATTAAGCATGGTGGACATTCATTTGTCCCACATAATCATACAGAAAAAATTTATTTAATTTGTTGAAATGTGTACAATGCATTTTTAAGATTGATCAAGATCTAAACCCTCCTTTTAAATTAATTCTTCAGACTCCTCCAAATTAATATTATCTTCATTATCTATAGTATTTCATTCTTCTCTTCATCTTCTTCACCTAATATGGATGTATTATCATTACATAATTTTTTATGCCATTCAAGACAATGTTGACATTTAAACTTTAGATTTTGATAATTCCTTCCCATTTGTGTGGAATCTCCCCTTCCTGTTCAAGTGCCATTGACCTCATTAATATTGTTTTTTCAAATTGGATAAATACATGAATAACTTCTATCCATTTAACTTAGATTGTCATTGTTGAAGTCAAATTTGATTTGCAAAGAAAATCAATATTAGAATTTAAAAACAAACATCCTTATTTTTTGCACTTAATATGAATGTGTAAAGCATTTACTAGAGCCTTTCTTTTTGGATAGTTTAATCTACCATGCTGGAAGGAATCATTCATGTTCTTGACCCCGTCATTGGAAAAACGTTGTATGATTTGGTCCTGAAGTGTATGACAATTGGATGAGTCTTTTTTTATTAGTTTGTTAACTATATATATGAATCTATTTTAATGCTGATATTGCTATTGTTACCGGAATTAGATTTGGACGCTCTTTTGGCCGAATTTAACTAATTCCGAAATTCTTTTTTTTAGCCCCTTTTAATCCCTATTTCTTGATCATTAAATGATCCAACCTTTATTTCACTAACCCTTCGTCATTGTTTTTTAAAGTTTTCCCTTCTCTTATTAGTTCCAAGTTTTATTTAATTATCCTTATTCTTTCCCCATTCCTTACTGGTTTCTTAATATTCTTCCAGTTTATCTAAAAGAACTATCTAGCTATATAGTAGTTGGCGACTTGCGATTGGTATGTTTATATGATATTTATAATCTCAAGAACAGTTCTTGCTTTAATGATTTCTCAGTTATCAAAATCATTTCTTCATAAGTTTTGATAGAAAAAGTTAAAATTAATTTATAACAACACAATAGATAGATAAATAAATCTATTTTCAGAAAAATAAAAGTTTGTATAACAACAATAGCAATAGTATAATTTATCATCATTAACAAAAGAAACCTTGGTCGATTGAATTAATGCGAGCTGAAAAAAACAAGCAAATGAGAAATTCAACATTATAAAAAATACAAACAATCTCAAGCATTTGAAATATTTGGTTAGAACTCTTATAATTTTTTTTTACTCTCTTGTATTGAAAAACAAGTCCTTACATAGTGGGATGTCGTGGATATCCATTTCACGTCCCGCTATTAAATTAAATTTCTATACGCGCATAATATTTGTGTCCTTATTCAAATATTAAAAAGTCGAAATAATATTCACATTAATATTAATATTAATTTATAGATTCGAATACGGGAATACCACCAAAGTAAATTTAAAGAATGGTCTTAGTACACGTGACAAACAAAACGAAACAAAAAATCCGAATCTGATTTGTATTTATTATTAATTTATATCAACGCTGTGACAGTTTCTGGAGAGAATATACAACAAGCCTAAACCCTACTCTAAACCTAAACTAAGAGCTTCAGTTACGACATCATAAACCATTTCGTCTTCGGTCAAATAACCGATAATAGCTAATTCGGCAAAATTAATTACGAATTAATTAATTTATTGCATCATAAGAATAGCTTCTCTATGGAAAATAACATACGGAAAATAATACTATTACATTATATAAACTTTTCCGAAAACTATGTGTATATTATTAAAGGATTATTCCTCATAAATAAATATCATAAAATATACGGAATTTCTGCACATAATAATAATAATAATAATAATAATAATAATAATAATAATAATAATAATACGTGTTAGTACCATCTAAAAAGGATTCCCATCAACTAAAATTTATCAAATTCTTAGCCGACTTACATCAGCAGTTTTTTTTTCCCAAATAATTGCATGTTAATTAGTGTAAATACTGGTATTAATAAATTGTTTCAAATTCCTTTATAATCCAATCATTGTCATTGGTATTTTTCGTGTTTACAAGTCTCTCTTCAAACCCTAGAAATTTAACCATCATTGGAAATCATCAAGAATAAAATCCCCTCGGAAAATATATCATCATCACTGCCATGGGGAAACATTATTTATAATGAAAAATATGTATTTTACAAAGGTTGCCTTTAATTTTTGTGGAATAACATTTTGAAGGGAATACAATATTCGATGTAATCGTCATTATTATATGAAATCATAATTATTCAACACGCAGCAAAGAACCAAGCGTGATCATGATATTATCATGAATAATTAACCATAGCATTAAGGCATTGTTATCATTAATCTCAAATTTGAATAAAAGCGCGCCGAAGAAAAATAAAATCTTTTTCCTTTATAAAAACGCGTATTTGTGTAAAGATTGGTTTTGACATTTTTATGTTCATAAATCTTAAACAAATCGTATTTAAAGAAAAAATTATTATAAAGTATCGAGATAAATATTTATTTACTATTACAAAATATACATTGAAAATACAAACATATCCAAGAAAGAAAAGTCAATGGATTAGCCTTTATTATTATATATATATTAATATGCGAGTATGTGGTATATAAACTCTCAATTAGATTTTTTATAAATTTTCAGGGTAAACTCGCGCGTTATCATTTAACATTATTATTGCAATTTTGCACAAGTCAAAAAGGTTTATTCCTGAATTTGTTGTATATTAATATTAATACATTAACTATATATGATTAAAAAAAAAAAATAATAAAATCTACAATATTTACTATTACATTTATAATTAAATCAAATAAATAAATAAATCTAAAAAGTCTTGGATATATAAAAGAAAAGATTTATAATTAACAAATTGAAAACATTCTATATAAAAAAATATAAATATATTATAGTAATGTTTAAAAATATTCCATAGTGGACTTGTAATTATAAGGAGGAGCCATATTGGAATAATCATAGTTGTAATTTAGATGCTGAGGATTTTTATTATTTGCTGGTTCTGATGATGACAAATAAGATTCTTTATCATTATTATTATTGTCATTATTACTATCATTATTATTATCATTATTATTATCATTGTTACTATTATCATCATCATCATCATCATCATCATCATCATCATCATCATCATTATTTTGTTTGGTTATTAATGTTGTGGATTTTGGTGGCGTAGGAGAATGTGATGATGTAGATGTCAATGAAGATCTAGGTAGTAGTGACGGTGGAGGACTAATTGATCTAATTGATAGTGGTGGTGATTCAGGTCTTAATGTGGGAGAAGAAGCTTTTGAAGCTAATAGAGTATTTGTCCTTGGTTGTCGTTGTGTTGGAAAAGTAGAAAAATGAGATGGTGAAGAAGGCGGTAGAGGAGGAGGTCTTGGAGCCATTTTTCTAGCTTCATCAAGTGGCATAGTTATTATATTATTTGATGATATTACTGGTACTGTGAAATAAAAAATAAAAATATTAATATATGCAAGAATTTACATTCAGGGAGTTGTAAATCATTTTACAAAAAGAAGCAATTATAAATAAATACCTTTAACATCTCTTGATATGGTTGCTTTCATAATAGCTTTCATCCATTCTTTTATTGATTGCTGGTCATCATGGGCAAAATAATGAGTTCTATTTGTATCATGTACTAACTTAAATCCGTACTTTCCATATAAAAGGTTCTCATCTGGTATTACGCGATAGTTTGTTAGATTTATATGACCTTTGACTATAACTGAATTCAAATTCTAAAAAAAAAAAAAGCTAGCAAATTAGTAATGTAGTGAAATTAAGAAATAAATAAATGATTAACTAATTAACGAATCAAATAAGTTACCTTGTCAGTTTTCAGATAGTAAAGATTAGCATCTTTCAATATACATAATCTTGATTTCCAAACTTTGTATTTGTTACCTTGCTTCTTTAACCATCCTTCATGATCAGGTACACCAATAGAATCAAGAACATCTTCGTCTATTTCACTATCACTATTATTATCATATTTACTATTATTACCATATTCCAAAATATAATTATAATTATCATATTCATTATAATAATCTTTATAATCATTACTATTAAATTTGTCGTGTCTTGGTGAATTTGGTTGACTAATAGAAACACCACCAACAAATAAAGCAGATTTCTTTGGTTTATTATTATTATTGAAATTTGGCAAATACTTGAATGATTTCTTTTCATTATTATTACCGTTGTTATTATTAATATCCGATGATATAAGACGAGATCGAGACAATTTACTATTATTACTATTACTTTTATTTTTATTGTTATTATTATCATCAGAAGAATCTAAATAATCTTTCTCATCTTTAAACTCCCAACCACCTGTAGATATTGTACGTGGTTTGTCTATTTTCTTTTGTGGTGAAAACATACTAAGCGATTTTTGCGCTTTCTTATTATTATTTGATTTTGTTAATTGACTCATTTTTGAAAAAATCGATCTTTGTGATTTATTATTCTTTTCATCATTATTCTAAACAAATAAAATCAATCATAAATGTATAAAGCATTAATATTAATGGAAAAAAAAAAGTTAATACTACTACACATCCCAAAAATTTTATTTACCTCTTTATTTGAAAATTTGGATTCAGATTTTTGTAAAGTTGCTTGATGAGAGTATGAAGCTTTCTTAGTATCATTTGAGAACTTAACGGCCGTAGAGGATCTTTGCGACATATTTTGGAATCCTTCATGAGTGATATTAGTATCATTGTTGTCGGGATATTTTGATAAAGAAGGATTTGATATTGAATATTTCCGATTTCCAAGTTTACGGGATGATAGTTTTTGATCAACAAAAATTTGCTAAAACACAAACAAAAATAGAAAATAGAAGATTAACAAATGTAATAAATAATAATAATCAAAATATTAATAATTAATAGTAGTCCTAAATAAATATAAACCTCTTCATATTCAGAGCTATCATCCTTCTCATCTTCTTTATTTTTATCATTTATTGAAAATTCGGATTTCAGTGCAGTAATAGCATTCATTATATGAACACGTTTACCAAATGATGCAATATTCAATTCCTTTAGCATATCTGTATTTAAATCAAGAAGTATGTCTCCAGTAATATCGTTGTCTAAACATACGTGAATACAAGTTTGTGTAAAATAAATAATTAGAAATTTGAGTCTAAAAATCTTTTTTTTTTTTTGGAAAAAAAACCCCATATTTAGAAAGTTTAAGAAATTTACCACGAAAATTTTTTTGCGTTACTGAGTCAAACCCTTTTTCATGTAACCATGAACAAACCTTTTCTACATTCCACATAGTGGGATGGCTTTTTAATTTTTCATTATTATAAGTTGATATTGTTGTTGTTTTTGTTGTTGCTAATGCTAATATATTAATTTTATTATTATTATTATTGTCATCAATTTGTTGTTGTTGAAATGATTGAAGTTGATTCTGTGAATAAATAGAACTAGTTCCTTTAGTAGATGATGATAAATGACTACTAAAGCTAGAGGCTGATGATGAAGAAGTATTTTGTGATAGTTTTTTATTATTATTATTATAGTTGTAGTTATTATTATAGTTATTATCAGAATTATATGATAAAAATTGTGATTCGTCATTTGATCGATTATTATTTCTTGATTGAAATAATAACAATTGTTCATCTTTTTCCCCTTTTATTCCACCTCCAGTTTCTGACACTTTTTCTATTAAATTGTTTAAGCTTGTTTCATCTGATTTTGATTGAATATCATCAATCATTCCATCAATGGAATGATAATTGTATTGATTTGCAAGAGGAATTCTATAGTTATTAAAATTTATACTATCACGTTTACTGTTACGATTACTATTGTTACTTTTATTGTTGTTGTTGGTTAATTTATTATGTCGATGAAATTTAGGTGATGGTGGTAAAGGTTTTGAATAACTTGTGTAATTCATAGGAAATAATCCTATTTCTCCACGAACATTCTTTCCCTAATAAAAAATATTAAATATCATCACGTGATACATTAGAAATTGTATAAATGCTATTTAATTATATATAATTGTTACCAACTCTAAAGGATTCTAAAGAATTCTTTTCATCAATTAAATAAATTCTTTTACCTGCCACCATCCATCACCATACATTTCATCCTTTTCAAAAACCAAAATAGGTTCACCATATTCAAAACTAATCTCATCTCCTTTTTCAGCTGAAAATGAGTGAATTGCGTATACCGTTTCTAATGCCATATTATAATGATTATGTTTTTTAGAAAAATAAAAGTTATTAAGAATTTTGTAAAGAAGGGTTTTTTTTCGAGAAAAATATAAATCGGGTGAATGTGTGTGTATACAAATAATAAGATAACTTCTTTTTTTTAGAAATAAATTTGTCTTTGTTCTCCTTTAATGGAGAAAAACCATTTTTTTCAGTTTAATTGATTAATAAATGCACAAACAAACAAAATAAAATATGTTATCAAATGACGATATTTTAATACAACAAGTATAATTTGGAAAGTAGGAGAAAAAAAAAAAGAAGATAAAACGTTACTAATATTAAAAAATATATATAAAATAATGATTTACATTTTTTAAGGCTATATATTCTTACTGGCTGTATTTTTTTTCTTTTACTAAACCCGAGATATTAATATATTAATAATTAAATATGCAATATTATATAAATAATTTTTTTTTAATCCCATAAATTGATAACAGTTTTAGTGTTGTGGAAGTATTCTTTATGATCTAAGAACAGAAAATAATAGGGTCGGATTATTATATTTATAGATTTGTAAAACCAAAATATTGATCGATTTTGACACGCATAACATTAATGTTAAAACAGCTGTTCTAATTAAAGAATAATTATTTATCACTATTAACTTGTTAAAGGCTATTATTATTATTGCTAACTAATTAAAGATTATTTGAGTAATTGTGTGAGAAAAAGAATCTGTTTGATTTATAATATTTATAATACAAAGTCTTGTTTAAACTTTGTAATAAAAAAAAGTTTTTCCGACGTTTTACAAATCATTTTGTGGTTACACTAACTTTTTCAGGCAGAGAAAGATGGATCGAGAAAAAAGACACAAAAAGTATATAATAATAAATATGCAATGAGTCATTTTAAGAGATACAAAATTTTATTAACTATCTGTGAGTAACATATTTTGTTGATGTTCATAATGAGTCCATTTTCTCTTATCATATAGTTGTTAACCTTATCGGAAATCTCATTCACTCAATTAAAATATCCTTGCATGAAATTGAATTCATTAACCCTAAATTCAGTTGTGAATGGTTTTGTATTGTTATTAAAAATTTTAAAATTTATAATTTCTCATTGAAATACTCTGCTTCCCCTTCTCTCTTTTAATGATTTGTATCGAATGTATTATAAATAAATTCAGAGCAAAAATAAATAATATCATTTCCTTCTCTTAAAGCAACTGTTTTATTCTCAAAACCTCCAGACAACGTGCTAACTATCTACCTATCTATCTATCTGCATTAATTGAAAGAAGTATTTTACAATACAATATATAAAATGCATATGCTAATACTAATTTAAGCAAAATTTGCCGTCATAGATAATAATAATGAAATTGTCCATTCAAAATTTATATATAAACTTTTTATAATATATAAAATTACAACTATATTAACATAAAATTTTTTTTGCGCTTTTTTATATTAAAAAACATTCATGACTCTCATATCTTCTCTATTAGTAATAAATTAAATTGTTCAAATATTTTTTAAACAGGAATATGGAAACTTCAATATTGAAGCGCCTCATTTCTTATATGCATCTTAAGGGTCTAGAATAAATGTCGTTGGCGAAATGTTATCAGAGTTTAGAACTATGTCAAGTTAGGTCAAATGACTAGTAAAAAAAATCATGGCTAAAGTAAAAACTTATTAGTTGACAATTTATCAAAAATCATTCAATTGTCCTTTGTCATTACAACAATTATTAGCATTTATTAGCATTATTTAGTTTGACAAAAAATCCACTCGAATTAGCCAATAATTATAGTTAATTGTTGACACGTGATTTTTTTAAAAAAATATGTGCATCAACACCAGTTTTGTAGTATCCGTAGTGTTCCAAGGACTTATAATAACATCAATATAATGTATTTGATGGATTACAGGTTTTTCAATTAATCGGTAAAATAAGTAACACAATTTAAATACTTAATTATGAATCTTTATTAATAATGAATTATGTATGGATTTAATTATTACAACAATCAATCTTCGATTTTAACCAATTAAAATTTTCAAAATTCAAAGTTCTAAATTTTATTTGTCAAATCCAAGAGTTCTGGAAGACCTCCCGATATTGTTTGAGCATATTTTAATAAAGATATCCTGGCAAGTATGATTCCGCCTGTATATTGTAATGATAATGAAACAAGAGCATTTAGCGAATAGATTGAAATAAAACAATTTTATCTTACAGGTTCTCTGACAACTACTAATTCTTCAAATGTTATTGGAACAAGGATTTTGTCTAATAATAATCAAAATCAAAAGGATCGAATGATTCTTATCAAACCTTTTGATTAAATATTTTTTCAAAAGGTTTGAATTTTATTGAATGATTTTCGTTCTTTGAATCTGGTAAATAAAGATTTCGAGTTCTAGGATTATTATTATTTAGAGACAAGCTATATATAAACAAAAAAGTTATTTACATATATATTATGATTTTAAATTTTGATTTCGAAAGCATGTGATTTTTCGAGGTTTCTAATTAATCGTTTTTTCGCCACAACTAATTTGAGGGTCATTATTTAATATACCTTTTTTATGATTTAATCGTTTTTCGATTTTTTTTTTTTCGCCCAAAACAAATTTTTGAAAAGAAAAAAAATAAAAATAAAAATAAAAATGAATTCAATATTTGAAAAATATTTTAATGAAAATGAAAGATTATTGAGTACAGAAGATTTTTATGATGTAAAAATATATGTTGGTGTAGAACCAAACACTAAAGAAGTTCATGCACATGCATCTATTATATCAGCTCATTGTCCATTTTTTAACAATGCATTAAGCAATGCAACAAAAGAAAATGGATACTATATTATTAACAAAGTTAATATTGGTGAAAAATATCTTAATGCTATTCTCAAGTAAGTTTAAATAAATTTATTTATTATCTAATAATGGTATTAATAACCTGTTTAATAATTTATTTATTTTGTAAGGTTTTTGTATACATGTAAATTTGAATTTGAAAATTATTCTGGAGCTGAAGCATTAGAACTATTAATTACAGCAGGCCAACTTGGGATTGAAACACTTTATGAATATATGATGAAATACTTTGTTGAAAATTATGAAGATTATATAGAAGAAAATCCAGTTAAAATTTTACAATTGATTTATGCTAATGAAGATTTTAAGGAATTGAAAAATATTTATTTGGAAAAATTTTGTGATTATAGTGTAAAATTATTTGAGTCAAATGAATTTGAATCATTAGAAGAACCAATTCTATTGGAAATTCTCAAAAGAGAAGATTTTTCTGTTGATGAGATGATTATCTGGGAAAACATTCTTAAATGGGGATTAGCAAAACATCCAGAAATCAACAATATCAATGTTGAAAATTGGTCACCACAAAATTTTGTTGATTTAGGCAGCACATTGAAAAAATTGATTCCTTTAATAAGATTTCAGGATATTTCTAAAGAGGATTTGTTTGATAACATTGAACCATATCAAATGCTTTTGCCTAAACCTTTATGGAAAAACCTTTTACAACCTTATTTATTTCCTGATAGACAACAAACAATAAATTTATTGCCATCAAGATATACTAAACTTGAATCATTAATAATCAATCAAAAACTCATTTTGCTTTTTGCAAGTTGGATTGATAGAAAAAGTCCACCATATAGTTCATTCAGAGAAGTCAAATATAAATTCAAGCTTCTATATTGTAGTAGCAGAGATGGTTTAAATGCTGATACATTCCATCAAAAATGTGATAATATCAACAAAACTCTTGTAGTTGGCAAAATACAAAATTCAGAAAAAATAGTTGGTGGTTATAATCCACTTGATTGGAATGGATGGGGATATAAAAATACAACTGAAAGTTTTATATTTAATATAAGTAACAGAAATGATGTCAATACTGCTCAATTTAGTTA